TGTTATAATTGCAAGCAAACTCTAGCACTTGAAATAATAAATAAAACTAGAGAAATGCATTATTTATTTAAATTTGAAATTTTTCTAGAAGAGGCCCATAAAAAGCTGTGGACAGAGTAACACAATATTACAGCTAAGCCACAGCAGCACTAAAATAATTGGGCAACAAAGAGCTGTTTGTTCATTTTTTCCCTTGCAAATCTCTCTCTCCCCCCTCGTCTTTACTGTTTAGTGGGCCAGGCAATAATGTCACCAGCTGCTTCTGGTATGCCCTTTTCCACCATCAAGATGTGCAAATATAGCATTACTAGACAACACGTTAGGCCCATCTACACAAGGAAAACCAAACAAGTCTTGGAAAGGCCCACTTTTCCCCATCCCAGCCCAGTCCCTTCTGTGGTTTTGCAATCGTTGGAAGGGTTTCAGCTCCCTGTGAGACCAAGTCAGGTACGGACAAGAATGGGCATACCTTACCCTTTGATGCTGAACCACACTGTGCCGATTTGGTGCTCCAGCGTTCACAGCCAGCCTCTAAGAGAGCAAGAGAACAAGCACACTGTGATGGTGCTCCCTTATTCCAGGGAGCATCACCTACCAAAGACAAGGGGTGAAGCTTGAGGGAGCGGCCGCGTGTTGAGAATCTCTTCCCATCTATCCAAAACGCACCTCCTGAGGTTGACAGCAGGTAAATATTTCAAAACAACATCATATTGTGTCAAAACGCAGAGCTAAGATTACTGCAGCCTGCTGAATTTCGTACACATCCAGGAGGGAACAGGTCTATACCCATGAAAACACGCAACACGACATTACTCTGCCGGAGGTCTAAAGAGAGCACTGCTGCGTTTTGACCCTGCTCAGATTTTTCTCTGCTACAGCAAGTTTGCTGACAAACACCCACGAGCACCGTCTCCTTCCTCCCCCGTGCTGCAGCCGGTGTCACTGCCCGCGGCCGGGCCGGCTTCAGGCTCGCAGGAGGACAAGCTGGCTGGAAGCAGCTCAGCTCACAGACACGCGGCTGCGGGGACCGGCTTTTGCTATCTGTAATGGACAAATCTCCCGCCCAGGCAAAGAAATACGGGAGCAAAAACAGTGGAAAACCCACCAAAGCAGGGCTATTTTCCAGTTTCTGTATCTAACGTTAACACTGAAAATTCTGCTGGGAGGACAGGAAGAAAGAAAAGATAACCTGACATGAAAATTGTAACACTGGAGCGAGGTACACAGAACTCCTTTTCATCGCAAAGAAATTGTCAAAATGACATCTATATCTACACCTAAGGAAAAATTTACTTCTGCCTTGAGGCAGCCTTGGCAATAACATTGTTGGAAGCAAAAAACAGTTTATTGCTTTAGGGGGAATTTAAATCAATTTAATTTATTTGTCAGTTAATAAACTTCTAATTACCACTTTGGTATTGAAACACACACGCACGTGGGGGAAACAGCCCTTGGCTCTGCAATCCGGCACGCAGAGCTTCCTCGGCCGGTCACGGTCCCCGCAGGGGGTCCTGGCTCCCTTTCGGCACACAGCGGGTCCCGTGTGTGGGCTGGGGAGCTGCCTGGGACCGGCCATGCCCTGCCCTCCTCCCTCAGCCCTCGCTGCCGACAGCGTGCCAACCACGGCCGATACCAGCATCGGTATAGCTCCATACGTGAGCAGGCAGACCCGCGGGGAGCCCCTACACCATGGCGCAGCATACCTCGGTATTGAGTTAGAAGTCCATCTGCAGGCAAACATCCGGGAAAGTCTGTGATTTGCAATGCATCTGGAACCAGCACACCCTCCCACGGAGGCTGAGGGACACTTCGAAACACACAGCTCTTGATTTGGGAGCTGTTGTCAAAAATTGATTTTGGTTTTGTCAAAAATTGATTTTATTTTCATAAGCAAGCTACTCCCGGTCTCACCTTCCACCTCTGCCACACGCTCACACAGCTCAAACCCATGAAATACAGGGGACCATCGGCACAAGCTACACCTGGCACCCACTCCATGAACAGATCAGAGCAAGCTGACAGGTTACCTCCAAACATTAAGTTTGGTATCGACACATTTTTGTAATTAACTCATGGAGGGAGCTGATGTGTAGCAACTAAATCCATCAGCTGTGCCTACCTCTGGAGAATGAACGCTGTCTTACACCGCACAGAGCAGCTACGTGCTGCAACGCCAGTAAAGCGAGACGCAAGAAATGAAAGAAAATAACCAGGCAAATCCACCGTTCTTTGGGTCCCTTCATTCCTACTTCCAGAAGAAGGCCAGCATTGCTGCTTATTATGTGCATATAGTAAACAAATAGCTTATACAGACAAGTTGTTCTTAAATCAAAAGCACATCAGTGAAATGTGATCTAAAATAACCAGCTACGTTTGAGGCTATCGCTATTTTCCCTGGCGCCTCAGGATTCTGCAGCTGCAGAAATTCCTCTAAAAGAAAAAATTCAAAAGAGCTTAAAGCTTATGCTCCCACAAATGGGGTTTCCAGATACAAATATATTTTATATATATATACACATACACATTCCATCACAGTAACCAGACCAGAACACTGGCACAGGAAAGCCCCCAGCCACACTTTTACCATTTTGCTGATTTAGCTGTATCAGCCAAGATTTTTTTTTTTCCCTCCCCTTGCTTCCCAACTACGCCAGCAAAAACCTTACTGCAGAAGCCTTTCTAGTGGCTGCGAAATTTTTCTGCCTGCATAAACCATTCCTTTCATAGGACCCGGTTTAAGGAGCACCAGCAAAAAACCTCCTCTCGCGTAGCCCTAGGGGCACCTCAGAAGGAAGCAGCAAGACCGGGTAATGAAAGCGTGCAGGAGGGAGGGGTGAAGGCAAAGGAGAGCATTGCATCAGTCCAGCTTGCATCTACAGAAAAAGGGAGGAAGCAGTAACTGCCATCACACTGGGTTTATGCCAGCAGAAACTTAACTGCAGAGTCACAATCCTACTACAAGAAGTAACAGCAGTAAAATTCTGCACACGAGTCAGACTGACCAACTTTACTTTGACAGACATGGCATTTCGTTTTCTATTTGGATTTTTGCGTCATATTTTGTGTCTAGCGTATAATCTCGAGAAACAAACAGACTGCCTGAAAACATAGGTGCAAACCATTCCATTCATGTCAAGCAGATACTAATCCTATTCTCCCCCAAGAAATGATTAAGCATCAGTTGGGTTAACTGTTTCACTACTGCTAAGACACATATCACCACTTCTTTGCTAAAACCCATCTCACAACTCCAAACCATCCTGTGGGTGAAACCATCCATGCATTTCCCCATCCAGGAGTAAACAACCTCTCCACTCTTCCTAATGAGCATCCTTACAATGCAGACTCATCCTGGCTACGTGAAAAGTACTCAATACTAAGAATAGAGAAGTGTGGGTTAGAAAACAACAAAAAAGTTTAAGAGAGATTCAGTACAGTTATAAAGACTGCCCTGTCTGTGTTTCTACTCAAATATAAATCTCTGCCCACCTTTTTTTTTTTTTTTTTAAGCCCAGATCCGCTGCAGGTTATCCAGCCTGCCACATCACATCAACACAGAAACCAGTTAGGCCTGGCTGCAGAATTTAGGTCAGCTTGTCTGTGGAGTACATAAGGTCTTGCACACAGCCATGAATTTTCTAGTAATGCTTCAATAATCCCTCTTCATCCCGCTCTGCAGCTATTTTACTAGTAGCTGCTAGCTTTCCTCCAACTCCTCAACAAAGACTCTCCACAGGAGGGATGTTTGCAGGCGAATGAGCCGCTGCCTCTTCCTTGGGAAGCAGGAAGCTGGTTGTTGAATCAAATAAATGCCAATTCTTATTTCCCAAGACAAAAAACCTGAAAGATTCCCAATGCACGCTAGAAAAGTACTTCCCTTTTTTAACCACACAAGGAAAGACATAATCAGACAGAGCTGGAAATTACCCCTAGAATATTAGGAATAATTTTTGTAACAGATCAGCTAAACAAAACCCCACCATTTCCACCTGGGTCAATAAATAAAAAAATAACATCAAAATGTGGCTAATAAATTCAGACAGTCTAAGGGACAGACGCTGGTATTTCTGGAGAGAAAGCACCACTTGAGGCAAAAAACACTGCGCCTCTTCAAAGAACAGTTCCCTCTAGAAGCAAATTGTGGGCCACTGCCATCCCAAGCATTGTACAAGCACACATAAGTAGCAGCCCTGTTCTTAAGGAATCTCTGAAGGTGCATAAAAATATGCAAAGTCTTCAGAACACAGTCCTTGGAGCAGGAGTTCCACATAAGCTGGGAAGTACAGTTATGGAAGAAAAAAATATTAATACATCGAATACAATAAACCAAAACCTTGAACTTCTCTGTCTTCATACAACAAGACGAACCTAAGTCTCCTTAGTTATGGCAATTGAAAGATGTGAATGCAAGAATAAATACCAGTTTCCAGGAACAGTTACAGGAATCCTAGCAAATAAAACCACAGCTAGCAAGCTGACAGCTGGTTTTGTCTTAAAACCTGTCAGTCTGCTACCTTTGCGTGCTCTATGGTTGCCGCATAACATCGTGCTCCTCGAAAGCTGGCACTTATATCTCCCTATTAGAAGAAAGAATAAAACGGAGGAAAAACTCTTTCCTCAAGACATCAAATTGCTCTTCAACATTCCAACATTTGTTAAGAGTATTCCTAGTCCATTCTTTCCAACTCACATGGAGCCTGGATACAGGTATTGGCAAGCACATGCTGAGCTGTACTGCACATTAGATGTGTAAATCGAGTATCACAGAAAATGCAAAGTTGCATTTGTTTATGTTTAGCTTGGATCTATCACAGAACTCAAGCATATAATATGCACCCATGCCAGGCACGCAGATGATGTGGTTGTCATTACAGGGCCACCATCGTATCACACACGTTAGCAAGACTTTTGGAACAGAACTCTATTTTTATAACTAATGATCATCCACAACTTCACTTCAGCTCGGCAGCAGACAACTTTTCCCATTCCCAGCTCAGTACCTGATCAGGCTGTGCTTCTCCTCCTTCCTCCTCCGGCTTCAGCTGGGCTGAGCACTGGCTCCAGGAGGCTCTGGTGACGGGAATACCAAGCCAGGCACCGACGGTCACTTTCTCATTTTGACAAGCGCCACAGACTCTTCCTGTATAAAAACAAACTGCTGTGAATCAAAGCGGCCGAATACAGTGTTGACGCGAGCGGGGTGTCAGAGAAATGCCGCTCTGTGACATGGAAGTGCAACGTTAGTCATCCATCCTTTTGCCACCAGCGCCTGATCTCTGGGGAAGGCTGAGCACACCCTTATTTTAATAATTTCAGAAATACCCTAAATGAGTTGTCCTGTTCTTGAAGAGCAGAGATCCCTCAAACCAGCAATTTGCCATTGCCCACATGTTTTCTTAAACACATTGGCTCATCCAAACTTAACCAAGAGCACTGCTATTTCTACACGCCACCGCAAAAGGCAGAGCAGACCCCAGCGGCGCGGTAGCTGCACGCCGCGTGTGCTCCACGCAGCCGCTTTGGTCACGCTTGAACTCCTGCATTAAAGCAGTATGCCAGGCAAGCAGCCCACCCTGAGTCAACGAGCTGCCTGGAAAACGCCTCTATCCCCGGGATGAACAAAATGGGAGAAGAAACAGGATTCCTCCCCGTCCTCCTTTAGCCCAGCACTTCCACCAGCCAAGCCCCCAGCGTGGCTGCCTTCACCTCCAGCAACCCCGAGGCTCCAGGGCCGAGCAGAGCCCACAGATGGAAAGCAACGACTCAGCACAACACACAGCCAGACTCCAGCAGGTAATTCATGAGTATTTATTTTACTTTGATGCTTATTAAGTATGCCTCGTTATAAATCAAGTATTCTACAGTAATTGCCTCCAATCAACAAACACTGAGAAAGCCGCTACGTAGACCTGTCTCACCAGACATTGAGGTGCTGGAGCGTGTCCAGAGAAGGGCAACG